GAGGGCTGGAGGCGCTGAGGTTAGTAGAATACTGTGAAAGAACATTGCCTGAGCCCCGCAGAAGAAGGGTTTTATTTTACTTTCTTTTGTTTGATATTATATTATTTTTTAACAAAGTGACCTGTCTTCTGTAGCCTTGGGCTCTGGCGGGCAAAGCCCCTTCCTTGGCAGTGGGGATGGCCTGCAGGGTCTCTACCTCTGTCCACATCAGCGACCCCACCCTGTGCCCGCACATTGCCACGTGAAATCAGACACGCCGTCGTCAACCAAACGCAAGCAGCCGCGTTAAGTGACGCCACAGAAGGCCACGCTAGTCCATCCCGGAGGACAGAGGAAGATACCATCAAACTTCAACTGGGTGCAGTAACCCTCCCCAGATACCCAGAGAAGCAGAGTTGAGGGGGCTGTTGACGCAAGCAGAATGGGGAAGGAGGAGCCCAAGAACTGGGTTGCCACTAGTCTGGGATCCAAGTCCCATTCGATATGCTGCCCCACTGCCTTCTCAGGGACAGCTGAGACGATTCTAGGTCTTATCTCGCCAGAGCGACGAAGATGAAGGTTCCTGCCCAGGACTGCGAGCGAGGGGGTCCAGCGCTGCTGCAAACTGTCCTCAAAGACAGAAAGGCTTTGCTACTTCTGGACAGAGGAAGCTTTGGTAGAGAGAGCCCTGGGGGCTCTAAGGAAACCACCTTAACCAAGCCTTAGCCCTGGTATATGAGGTCCCAGCATAAGCCTACCGTTTTCTAAGTTGATAGAACAGGAAACAAACAAACAAACAAACAAACAAACAACTTTGGTGTGGATAAAGGAAACAGGAGAGGGAGAAGATGGGGGCGGGGAGGGAAGAGACAGGGCAAAGTGGAGGGAGGGGAGCACCTTAAACATTTTTTGCAGGAAGAACAGGAGAATTAGGCCTGGAAAGATCAATCAAAGTCAGAGGGTGCAGACACACACCCTGCTCATCGAGGAACCAATGAGTCTCAACTTCTCTTAGCCCTTCAGAGAGAAGGGAAAAAAAATGCAATCCCTCACACAGCTCTCCAAAAATAAACACCTTTACCATACATTTATTAAATGTTTTTAAAATATTTTTAGAAAGGAATTTATATAGTTCTTTTAGTCATTTTTTGACTGAGTAATTAACTATCTCCTGTTTTCCACAGTTGCCACTGAACTGTTAATACATTGTTACAAAAGAAGTAGCAATGATTTTTTAAAGGCAATTAAGTAGAATTAAATACATCTTCAATGGTACATTTTATGTTTTCCAGGCCTTCTCTATTCTTCAAACAAAATCTAAAATCAACATTCACATAAAATGCATAAAATACTCAGCAAGAAGTGAATGAAGTTATACATCCCAAGCACAATAAATTCTGGATTTTATCTTTTCAGATAGAATGTCAACAATGAGAAGGACTCTCTTCGTGGGGGGCGGGGAAAGGGGAGTTGGGAAGCAGGGTGATAAATAAACTTTTAAGATTAGAGTAAAATTTCTCTGGTTTCTCTTGCTAAAACCTGAAAAGGAAAATTAGTTATGTGTCTAAAATCAGGTTTCTACGTAACATATTATTTTTTTTTAATCTCTTCTTCAATTACCACTTTCTCAAGTTCAGTTAAAATGCAATTGTCAGATTAGGGACGCTGGGGGAGGAAGGGTAGTTTTAAAAAATTCCTTCTGAAAATCTGCTATAAGAAACTTCTCCCGTTTACTTCTCCTCCCTCAAATCAGACACGTTTCTCGTTTCTCCATGTGCTTAGTTTTAACTGCTGCTTGTGGGGGGAGGGGGGTGTTAATAAATCAATCAATAGGGACTCTATATTCATAAAGACCTCTGATCTTATTACACCCCCCCCCCTTTTTTTTTGTCCCTCTCTAAAAAATTTACCTCGGCGAGCCAGGGACTCCCAGCGTAGCCCGCGTCGACGGAGAACTGCGGGCGGGAGGCTGGGAGCCCCGGCGACGGCGGCGAAGGCGCCCGTGGATTAGGATGTGGATTGCAGGACAGACCTTTGTTTGGTCACATTCGCGACGCGGGGGGCAGGGGGCGGTTATCCTCCTTCGACAACGCGCCAGGTTTTTATAGACTCGCCTTAAAAAGAGTTCGCTGCTCTTCACAGGGTTAATTTATGGGACTTTCGAGGAACACCGGGACTTTTAAGATGCTCTTCATTTTTTCCCCATTATTTTCGTTGTTGTTACACTCCTAAAGGCACCCCCGGGTTTCAGCACCTCACAGGACAAGGGTGGGGGTGGAAGAACGAGCAGGGCCGGGAGGCGAAGGGGAGGATTTGCCTCCTAATCAAACCGCCTACACGGCTCAGGTTGCCCAACATAGTTTTTAAAATTAAATTTCTAACCAAGTTATGGGCAGTAAAACTCAGATTTAGGAACTGAGAGGAAAGTGAGACAAACGTGGGCCGCACACACCTTTTCCCAGGTCTCCACCAATTTGAATTCGCTATTAGGGGTATGAAGAGTTTGAGGCCTTAGGAAATTTAAAAGTTTAAAAACCGAGGACAGGCGGGAGAAAGGGTTAGAGTAACAGGTGAGGAGGTGACTGGGGAAGGCGGGGGTGGGGGGTGGGGGGAGGAGAAAGCCCTTAGACCGCACATTGTCGGTGCGGGGTTCCTGGCCCAGCATCCCCCGCCCGAGCCTCTGGGCGCGCAGAGGTGGGCGGCAGAGGGCTGAGGCCTGCGAGGCCTGGACTCCTGGGGGCCCCCGACCTCCCGCTCGCCATCTTTGATCCCAAGCGGAGGAGGTTGGTGTTCATGCTATAGATTACCTTAAAGGTTCCTTTAAGCACTTTAATACACAACTAGCTCAGAAATCATTAAGAGACCTAGAGAAGGAGAAAAAATACCCTCACACTCACCGGTAATAAGTGTTGACATGCAGCAAAAATCGATTGAGTGGAACCGAGGTGGTGGCAGTAGCGATGGCTGAAGGGGGGACCCGCGTGGGAACGGGAGGGGCTGAGGACCGGCTCCACTGGCTCGGGAACTAGGCTTTTCTCACTTGAAGGGAAAAAGAGGAGCGGAAAAGTGTCGGCGGGCGAGCGGGGATGGGTGTAGGGAACAAGGAGGTGGTGAAGACGGTAATTCTTCCTTCTGGAAGTCCAGGGAAAGGAGCTGAGGTGGGAGAAAGGGCTTCTCATCAGTCCCGAGTCTCCGCCCCCAGCCCGCACCACTCAAGTTGAGGATGAGACAACTCTTCCCAAACCTCGACTTCCATTTTTGTTTTCTGTAGATTGATCAATTGCCTCGAAATAGAGTTCTATGTCAGCCAGCAAACTAGGCCGAGGTCCGCCTCCCGTAGCCAGCTCTCTCCCAAGTCACTCTTGGACCTGCAGGAGACGCAAATCCTCCCAGCAGGTCTCGTTAGCGTTTCCAGCCCCCATCCCCAAATCCCCTCTCCCAGTCCCCTCCCTCCCCTCCCCCCGCCGCCCCTCCCCCCATACCAGGCGGAGCTCGGGGAGGCCCGGACCGCTGGGCTTCGCGGCTCCAGAAGCCAAAGTCCGCCCGTGGGGACCGTTTTCCTCTCCACTGCTCCCAAGTGAACAACAAGGACGGAGGTGACCCTCGGCCAAAGGGCTTTTATCTGCCCCCCACTGCCGCGTGATCCCTCCGTAGGTTAGAGGCAGAGCTTAAAAAAGAAAGAAAGAAAGAAAGAAAGTTAATGTGCATTGAGCACCGATCTTAAATCGGGGACATTATCGGCGATCTCTTTAAGTGGCAGCAGCAGTCCCATGCAGAACAAAGACTCAGGGTCTGAGCCTCAAAAGCTAATAGGTAAAGTTTCAGCCAGATAAAAGTAACCTAAGCGCAAAAACACAGGTTTTCTCGCCCCCAGAAAACTGCTGGCTACTTTTCGCTCCCTATTCCCCAGGGTTATGTTTGTCCTCGCCCACTGGGGGGAGGAGGGTGACCAGAATAGCAAAGGACCTCAGATTTTACCCTTCACCGCCCCCCCCCCCAGCGCCTCGGTAATGAATTCCTTCGGACTAAGTCTATTTGCTACGATTTGTTACGAAATCAAATTTCACATTAAAAAAATAAAAAAGGCTGAAAACCACCAACAAAGGAAGAGCGGGTGCTTAAGGTTCTTTTAAACACTCACACCGACCTCATTCCCCGTTTAGATGTCAGAGGATGGGAGGGAGGGCCAGGGCTGTAATTCATCTTGATTTGCTTCATTGTCCCGCAGTTTGCAAACCATAATCCTGTATAATTTCAGGAACAAGCAGGTTTAGAATTAATGGGTCAATATTATTTAAAACAAAACATGGGGAGCGTGACCTTTGCCTCAACTACATATTGCTCTACAAGACTCAGGAAACTCCACTCTAACCTCTCAACCCCTGGGCTCTTTGGGAAACTAAAGGGCTGTAGTTATTAGAAATGGTCTTTGTTTCTTTTAATGTCTCGAAAGGATTTGGAAATAGAATGCAATATAACATGAAGAATCTCTCTACTTAAGCCTGAAAGATAAACGTGGAGGCCTAAATATTTTGAACTGGAGGTGTTTCCTTGTAAACTTATTACAGATGTATTCCTCTTGAGAGGAATGTATATAAACTGTACATGTATACATACACACATAATTCTCCAGAACAATTTACTGGATGTGAAGACCTCCCCCCCCCAAGAAGTCATTCCAAGCTGACATACTTCCTAAATTTCTCTCTTCTTTCTTCTTTCTCCCTTATATTATTTGCTAGCAATAATGGAATCCTCTGGGTTTAAGCCAAAGAAAAATCTGGGAGACAAGACCAGACTTTGCAGGCTTTTTTTTTTTTTTTTTTTTAACCCCTGGGAGTGGCTTTTCTTTTTTTTTCTTTTTAGTTTCTGATGAATGACTATAATTTATTTCTACCAAATTTAAATAAGTCCTGCTGCCTTGTGTGTTTAGGCGGGCAGAGGGAACTGGTTTGTTTAGGAAGCAGTGAGTGAGAAACCCTGGCCAGGTGACAGAGGAGGGCAGAAAGAATCCAGACCAATTTGTATGTAGTATATTTTACTCCCATGAAATAAAACACGTTTTTCATATTTGCTGAAAAGTAAAACAATAATATTGTACGAAATGTTATACACAGGGTAGGTTGTACATAGCAGTTTCAGAAACATCATTGCATCCACCAGAAAAACTATTCTAAAACTGATATTCACACATTATTTTATAATAATAATATGTTAGAAACATACAGTGTGGCATTTAGTATGTACATTCCTTTGCTCACAAGCGAAAAACCCTAATCGCTTCTGTATAACATGCTTTATTTTAAAGCCTAACCTTTAAAAACACTGTTGTGATAGTACTAACAACTGCTTTTTATAAAATTAATTTGACATTTCGATATATATACATCCTTTCAGTCATTTTAATGTTAACAATGCTAAACTTAAAAAATAACAAGCTTATAGTAATGTTAAAATGTCATATCCAGTCAAACATTTGTGTGTGTCCTTGCAACTGTCGGAAATACTTTTAGTGAAAGATGTCAGATGTTGAGGAAATTCCTTTGAAATCAAAGGAGCTCTCTTTAATTCAGTGGTTTCCTTTTCTATCTTCTCTTTCTCTCCCTTTCTTTAGTGCCCACGACCTTCTCGCGTAATTCCCAGTCTTTCAAGGGCAGAGTTGCCCCATCCGGCACAGTCCTAGGATCCGGGTGCTGTGGGCAAGGCTCACACCGGCCGGTCCACGGCATACTGGCAAGCACTCAGGTTGGACGCCGGGTTCTGCACACTGGCGTAGCCGAAGCTGGAGTGCTGCTTTGCTTTCAGTCTCAGGCTGGCCAGGCTCGAGTTACACGTGTCCCTGTAAACGTACGGAGGAGTCGGCGGTGCATAAGGACAGGCGGGCGTCGGCACCGCAGAATTCAGCGACGGGCTGCTCAGGTTGTTCAAGTTATTCAGGCTATTGAGGCTGGAGCCCGGGACACCGGTCACAGCTGAGGGCACCATGCTGGACGACATGCTCATGGAGGAGATGGAATTGGGCGGGGAGAACATGCTCTGCGATGACAGGGGGTTGACGTTCATAGAGTTGAAGAAAGGGAAGCTCTTGGTGGACAGAGAGGCTGACGTGAGACCCTTGGCGGCCCAGTTGTTGTAGGAATAGCCCGGATACATGTCGTCGTAGGGCTGCATAAGGCCGTTGAACTGCGGCCCAAAGCCATTCTTGCACAGCTCGGCCTGCTGGTTGCGCTCCCGCTTTCTCCATTTGGCCCGGCGATTCTTGAACCAAACCTGGGGGTGGAAGGCAAGGGAACAAACAGATGCCACAGATCGGATTAGTAAAACCTTGATCCCAGAAAGCACCAGAGGCCACCACCTCCGAGAGACAGACAGACAGACAGACACACACACACACACACACACACACGTATGTGTGCGCGCACGCACACATCCCGGTCCCCAAAATTTTCCCCAACTGCCCACCGCCCCTGGGACCCCAGCTGCCTGAGCCCCATCCAAGCGAGGGAGGCCCAGGCTCCCTGCGCCACAAACCCCAGTCCAACACCTGGTGGCCTGTGGGTGGCTTGTTCACTAACCCAGGCCCTCCTCAGGATCCAAAAACACTTACTGTAAAATAAACGCGGGGCAGTGGGTTTTCCGCCCAACCCTTACCCGACCGCCTTGCAAACTTGCTTCCCTTCCAAAGCCACAGACACAGTGATGAGGACAAGGGGCTTTTAGGGCACCAGAGGACCGGGCTCTCTTTCACACAGCTCCTCCCTCCTGTCTCAGACCTCCCCTGCTGCCCCCCACTCCACAGAACGTGCTCTCACAACTGGCGCCAGGCCGCGACCCCATCCTCGCCTAGCAAAATAAGGAATCAAAAAGCAAAAGACCACCTTCCCTTTCGCCTCCTAAACTCCTCGAGCTTGGCTTGTAACTCTCTGGGAACCCAGAACGGGTCGCTCTGCAGCCTCCCCCTCCCTTCACTCGGCTTGTTCTCACCCTCCGCCCACTCCAGGCCAGGCCCCCCGCGCCCAGCGCCGTTCCCGCCGGGCCCAGACCATTTGCTTGGCTTTGGGAGCAGCCGCCTAACCCGGTCAGCCCCCACCCGCGTCCGGTGGCCCCGACACAACCCTTCTCTCAATCCACATCGGGCCCGCCCGTCGCCGCAGACTGCGGCTTTTGTGTATTGGAGCGAGGCCTGGCTCCAGATTTCAGAGCTGACACCGGTGATGTTTCACATTACACATCTCAGCCGGGCCCAGCCGCCTAATCCGCTTTTTTTTTTCCTTTTCCCTTTCATTCTCGATTTCCTTTTTATCCCCCTTCCTCTTTGCACCCGACTGCTATAAAAAAAGCACGCTTCACTCCCACTTGGCTGGACACGCAGCGGGCCTGGATGGAGGCAGCCAGAGGGAGCGAAAGCCCAGCATGGTAGGGGCAGGGAACCTGGGAGGGATTGCAGAAAAACCGAAGGGGGTGGGGTGGGGGGAAGAGATCTTTTCCGAAGGATTCCAGAGAACCCACTGATTGTGTTTTTATTTTAATCACTTGCAATTTCTACCCTGGGCCATCTAAACTTTGCCCAGGCAAGAAGAGTACGTGCAAGTCCCCTTCCCCTGATGCGCAGGAGAGCTAATGAAAGACTGACCTTGCACAAAACCACGCGGCCGGAGAGCCAGAGGTCTAGCTCTGAGCAGTTAAACTAAAACCATTTTCAACTTCATCCCGGCTGTTACCCACCAGCATAGCCACATATCCTACACAAATGCCACCCAGAGAGTGCCTTCGTTCTCTCTGCTTTGGGAAAGCATTGTGGTCTTTATTTATATTATTTTTTTGTCGTTATTGTTGTATAGTGTTTTCTTCTTTCTTCTCTGCTCTAACTGGGGGCTCTATTTCTCCATCCAGAGCTTTTTTTCTTTTTTCTTTTTTCCTTTTCTTAACAGCAAACCTCTGGATCCTGCTATTTGTGTTTCTGCTTCCAGAATCCTAACACATTTGGAGTTTTCCACTGACCAGAATAAACCAGGATGTTGCTACTGGGTAATTTAAGTTCACTTTTGCCAATCCATAAAGTACAGATTTGCTACAAAGGTAAGCCACCCCCCCCTTTAAAAAAAAACTATTATTATTGGGAAGAAGGGTATTAGTAACAATCTCCTGAGAAAAGATAAATAAACCAAAAGGAAAAGCCTTTCTTCTTTTTTCTTTCCTAAGAGGACTAACAAGATAGTAGGTGTGTATCAAAACTGCTTCCGTAGATCACAAAACTAAGGGATAGGGTGTGGGAGAGACCTGAATGGCCAAAAAACCTCAAAGACTACATAAAGAGGATGAGCCAGTAGAAAGAGAAAAGGCCGGGCTAGGCTGGGCGCGAAAGTTTCCCAAGGCGGACCAAATCTTGCATGTCTCCGGCGGTATTTCCTGTTAAAAGCGCACAGGTTGGAGCCTGTTCTCGCCTCCTGGCCTGGGAAGGATTTTATTAGCGCTCATCTGGCGACTGCAGGCCGGGAACACAATGCTCTGTGCAGGGGAATGCCACGCGGCCCGGTTCGGAAAGGCTCGGGGTGGCGGGGCAGTGAGCCGGTGCCGCTCCGGGCGCCCGCGCCAGGCCTACCGCCTGTCTCCTAAGGGGGAGCTGTAACCTCGCAACCGGGGTCGCCGAGAGGCCTTCTGCTTTTGCAAAGACACACCACCCGGGCCCTCCGGGAGACGCCGCCTTCCTCACTCCCTCCGCCCGGTCTACGTGGCCTGCATCTCTACAATGGCTTCCTTCCTAGCCTTCCCAGGCTCCGCGAGGGTTCCTACCCGAACTCGGGCTTCCGTGAGGTTGGTCCACACGGCGATTTCCTCGCGCGTGGACATGTCCGGGTAGCGGTTCCTTTGGAAAGTGGCCTCCAGTTCCTGCAGCTGCTGGCTGGTGAAGTGAGTGCGCTGCCTCCGTTGCCGCTTCTTCTTGGACGGGTCTTCGGTGCCCACGTCCTCATTCTTTCCCTGCTGGCTTTTATCTTTCTCTGAAAACGAAACACACAAAGGTTCCCGTCAGCACGTCCACCTGCTACCCGCGAACTCCAGCTGGACCCGGCGGCGGAGGCCGGGGATGCGATGGGCTGCCAGGCAGGGGAGGAGTGTGTGAGCGGCCTCTCCGGGCCGCGGGGAGCGCTGCGACTGTAGGGTGTGCAGATGCGAGTGTGGGTGTGAGCGCCCCATCTCCTCCCCTCCCCCAGCGCCGCACGTTTTATTTACATGTTTATGTCAGGGCAAAGGCACATTCATTTTTATAGCCTCCGCTTTCAAGTATATTTACACGCCTCTGCGCAGACACACCAAATCTCCTCGGACACCCGCACGCGCGCCTTTTACAGAGCCCCCTCAGATCTCGATGCGATTTCGGAAGGCTAGTAAAGGTAGATTTTGGGATTCGGTCACCCACCCACCCAAGTTCTTCTGCCCTTTAGAAATACCGCTTCTTCTGCGGCGTAGTTTCGGAAACACTTTTCTAACAGGAGCAGCTTCTCGGGAGCTAAAAGCCGAGAGAACAGGGACCGGGTTGGGGGGCTGGGGGCTGGCCTCTGAACGTCTTCGAACGGAGATGCTGGGATTTTTGTGACCCAGGAAACCTCGGCAGGCCAGGATAGGAATAGGGAAGAGTAGGAGAATGGCTCGCGGCGTTCGCGGCACCTCAGGCGGTCGAGGTTGGGAGAAAGGAACGCGGGGCCAAAAAGAATCCTGGCTCCGGAAGTTCTGCGGGAAGCAAACTAAACGACCACTCCCACCACGCCTCCCCCAGGAGGGGCCGACTTCCTTGCGGGCGAGAAAGGCCGAGCCGCAAGGGGCGGCTAGACCCGGGTACCTGCGGGGCCGCGCGGCGCCTTACCTGCGGCCTCGGGGCTGGAGGTGTCAGAGATGGTGTGCACCTCCAGCCTGTGCTTGGAAGAGTCCAGGGAGCGGGTCTGACCGGGAGCCAGGACTGAAGCCATGGCCAGTGGCTGGGGATGGTGACAGGAGGAAGACGAGGAGGTGGCCAACAGCTTGGTCCCTACTGCTCGGTGCTCCAAGTGCAGCGGGCCTTTCATGCAGTTCATGGACGAAGGAGCGCGCCGCCCTACAAGTCCTGGGCTGCCGCCCGGCCGAAACCCCGTGGCCGCCGCCGCCTGCTCGGCTTTGCGCTATAGGCGCGGAGTTTCCCCGCTCCGGCCGCCGTGGGCAAAGCCAGGGAGCACAACCCCTGCTGAGTCTTTGAACCGAGCCGTCCCTGTCCCCGTCTCCTTAGGAAGGTTCTAGCGAAAGGGTCCGGCGGCGGAAAGTCAGCGGGCAAACGGAGACATGGGGATGTGGGTAGGAGGGCACAGCTCGGAGCGTCTTTGGGCAGCCGGCTTTCAAGCTCCAAAGCGAAACCAGAGTGGGCAAAGACCCCTTTCTTCCCTCCCTCCCTCCCCCAAGTACCCCTCCAATAAGGAAAGCTAACAGCGTTCGCGATCTGCCCGCCCCCCGCGCGGCAGCCCTGACAGCGAAGTGTCAAGAGTGACAGGGACAGGTAGCTGATATTAGATCCCCCGCAGCGACGGCTGCGGCAGCGGCAGCGGCGCGGGCCTCTGGGCGCACCCTCCGCGGCGCGCACACGCACACCCCCTCGGGCAGTCGAGCCCGAGCACGGACTCGCAGCAGCTCAACTCCCGGCACCTGGGCGAGCGACCGACCAGCTCTGCGGCTCCGAGCTTCCCTGTTGGCCTAACATCTTAAAACCAGAGGCGGGCTTCCTGGTGCCCAGACGTCACTTTGCAGCGGCCCTCCCAACCTTCCCCGCCTCCGCCTCCTCCCAGACCCTTCGCCTAGCGGGAGTGACGTGGCTCCGCACCAATCAGGAGACCCCGAGCCGCGGCGGAGGGACCGCTCTGTCTGCACCTATCAGCTGTGTGGGGCCGGGCTAATACCTCACTGTGCCCACAAAGTCTACACCCGCCGGCTCCCGGGAATTCTGCTCTGCCCCGGCCGAAGACCGTCCGGCTTTTAGTTCAGGCGGGGAGGTAGAGAGGTGAGGCCGGGAGCAAAAGGCTCGTAAGAAAGGAGCGGAAAGGTCGAGGGCTGAAAGGTACAAGGATCAACAAGCCTCCCCACCCCTTCCTTTTGTATCTCACTACATCCAATTCCAATTGAGAGATGTTTTTCTCTTCCTGGATGGAAAGGAGACATGCTACTTAAAACCAGAAAATTTAAAAAACAGCAACAAATCACCTCTCCGAGCTTAAATTTTCCAAACAGCCTGTCAAGTGAATGCTGCGCTAATCTGAAGAAGCTTTACTTTAATTGCAAAGAAGACAAAGCCCTGAGAAGGCAGGCTAATAAATTAGAAATCGAGAAGCAAATGGACCCGTCAAAAGAAAATTACCTTGACTTTAAACGAACAACTGTTTGGTGGTTCACTCTGGATTTATACAAGAATAAAAAGTCGCCTCAGATCACGTTCTCTGTAATGCTTATTAGTCCCCAGACAGAAAATACACTATAGAATAGAAACCCTAACCCAGCATTTTCAAAATGCTGAAAGCTTATCCATTCTACTTAGCGTTGATTAAGACACATATCCTAGATCTTTCAAATTCCTTGTACACTGTATTAAGCTTGTCCTAGCCCTAGAGAGAGCCCGCTTTAAATTCGACTCTCTTGTTTACTTTATTATCAATCAGATTCAAATCCATAAAGCCCGCAGAATCAACAACCTTGAGCTAATTATATATAAAATATGCTTTAATGAATTTCCATACAATTAAGAATGTTGCCAAATAACCAATTTCAAGGATAATTTTTAAGTCATTTTCTTTTCCTAGGGAGCTCAAGGCTGTTGAATCTTTAAAGTCCAAGCAGGCAGAGGCAGTAGGGTGGGGGCGAAGGGTAAAAACCTAGCAGAATACTCAGCTAGGAAAAGCAAAGCCTTATTCAATTATTTTTTAAAAAAGAAAAAAGCCATCTTTGGGGACATCCAACTCTTTACAACACTATTTCCAAAAAACTTTAATTTCCAAAGAAATACAAACATATCATTCAAAATAATTTTTGGAAAGTCCTTTTGTCCTCTGCTTAGGTCATCAGGAGAGCACAAACTAATCTCCTTTGGGTTTCTGCATTGGTGATTGCTTTATTGTGGAGTTAGTGTTATCATCCCTGAATGTGTATTTGTTTGACATTACAGTCAATGATTTGTAACACCAGTGGGAGGTATCTCCAGAAAACTCCCTCCTTGTCCTTGTTCACAAGATTGGGAAACCGTATGCGGTCTGGGGCAGAGTGGATGAAGCAGACTACAAATACGTTTGTAACCTATGTGTCTCTCCTTTGCCTGGCTCTACCTGCCAAACCCTATCTGCAACTCCTCCCCCATTTTAAACATGCTTGAGAGCCATCCAAAGAACCAAATGAGAGTTGTTCTTCAGTCTCTCCCCAGAAGTATCATCCTACTTTAAGAAAAATATAGCTGCAAGGAGGAATTTTCTTTATAGTGAGGTTTAAAATCAGCATTTCTGGTTTTAACCTTTTATTCCAGTTCACCCCATTTCAAGCATACACACACCTGCTCAGTGCAGAACACATCCCCATGTGACAGGTCTGCATTAGCTAAGGCTCATACATCCAGCTATATTAGGTCCTGCAATCTTATCACTAGATTATACATATTACACCAGCAGCCTGTTGGTAAAGAAGGTTAAATTAATTTACATTCTGCTCATTATCTGGTGCTTAAATGACGCATTTTATCCCTGAGATTTGGCGGAGAATCTCCTCAGACCCCACAGCGTTTCACCGAAGACAATGCTCTTACATTTGTAGTGGTTTTTAATCTGATAAGACTCTAATTTGCTTAAGTCTTTTAAATAAGGGTTTTAAATGTTTCTAGCCATTTTCTTATTGAATTTCCTCTAATTCCCCCAAGATCATAAAGTATATGTGTAAAGTAAATATTTCCTCCCATTGCACTGCCAGCCGATGACCTATAACTAAATCAATATGAATCCAGCTCTTTCCTGCCCAATGTGTTTACTAATCATATTCCAGTTTCTTCTTTTTAAACCTCAGCATAGCTGCGATCCCCAAAATACCAAACCCATAAAGCTTCATTTCATGAAGAAACTCCATCACATGAAAGAACGAAAAACTCCCTACCATAGTGAACATAATTTCTTTCTTAGTATTAGTTTCTTTGAGAGTCAAACCCCGGAGCTGCAATTTTTGGTGGAGGCTCTGGGTGTTTCTTAAAACTCCTTACTCAGGAGAGCTGAGAAGCTCCACAGAACCGTATAGATATCGAAGCCCATCTCTCATTAAACCCACAGAATTTTGATTTAAACTCCATGGCTCTGTTGACTGACAGAACTCACATCATGGCAAATACACATATGAAAGACCTAGTCTCCAAATCAGCTTCCAAAGTGGTTGAAACACCCAAGAGCAAGTGACAGCTCCTCATAGTGCCAAATTGTGGGAGATATTGGAAGTACTGGTGATCTCCAGGCAGCCTAAAATCCTAAAAAGATAAAGAATCTTATATTGTATCTACCCATTGCAAAGTCAAGTGGAAAATAAAGACAATCATCTGGAGATCTCTAGTTAAAGTAAGAACATAACCATATCTAACAGTCAATCGTCTATCTAGATATGCACATACATAATATATAATGCCTTCCCCAACCATCAGCTGAGCCAGTAAGGCATTTCTTTGCATCTTTCCAGAGTTGATCTCCTAATCACTTCACACATGGTGAGCTTGGCTAACCCCCTTCTCAGGCCCACAGAATTCACTCCATGGATGGTACGAGTACACCGACATGAAAAGTCTAGATGGTGAAAAGCGAGTAGTGGGAAACCAAGAAATACTTTTCAATGGAAACAATGGTGGTGATGGTGGTGGGCAACTTCGGAGACTTAATCTACAAAAAAACTTGTGGGTGCACAGATACTGGTAGTATAGATAAGGAAGGGGTTGAAAGTAATCCTATGTATTTTGCAGGTTGAGCACTAC